TGGTTTGGTTATATGTGTGCATTTTCTTCTCAGGCCTTCCTTTCCAGGGGGTTTCAATTTGCATCAAAGTGGCAGACTTGGGTAGGAAAGAGAGGCGGCAGAGATGCTGCAAAAAAGTGACAGTTTGGTCAATTAAAATCTTAGACCATATGGTTTTCCTTAGGTAGTGTCCAAAGTTGTGTCTCATGACAAACAAGGTTTGAATTTGAGAGATTACAGTCTTCTCATTCTTCAACAGTAATGTTCTATAAGTATGTCTTGAACACCGAGTTACCAAACATTGAACAATTGCTCCTAAGGGAAGCACAGGGTTAGTTAGGTTCCTGCAAGTTACTGGTCACATTTTTGTCCCCTAGTCAATGCATAATGTTGTTTTATGTGTTTCTGTTCAAAGATTCATTATTATATATATACACACACACAGAAAGATTCATTATATGTGTGTATATATATATATATATATATATATATATATATATATAATGAATTCATTACCACTGAACTTGTGACCGACACCACTATAACTCAAGCTTGAATGAAGCTTCTCTAACACCCCTATTTTCTCTGTAAGAGAAATATACATGACAAGAACAACTTGGAAGACATCATCTCCTCCTCCTCCTCCTCCTCCTCTTTTTCTCCTCCTCCTTCTTTTCTTTTCCTCTTCTTCTTCCTCCTCCTTCTTTTCTTTTTGATAAAGAAGAATGAATACAGAGCCTCACACATATTAGGCAAATGATCTACCTCTGTACTTCACCCCAGCCCTTTTAAAATTTTATTTTAAGACAGAATCTCACTAAGGGGCAGAAGGCAGCCTCAAGCCTGGGTTCCTCCTGCCTCAGCCTCACCAGTAACTGGGGTTACAGATATGTGGCCCCGTGCCTGGAATGTCATTGCCTTCTTGTACTTTGGAACACCAAACATTACTTCAGCAGTACACTTGAGGGACATTTTAAACAGTGAAATCACCAAGGAGAAGCACAAAAGTGAAAAAGGTGTGACACTGAATAGACCTTGAAAAGAACTAGGAAGGCAGAGCATCAACTTGTTCCACCTCAGCTGAGAACATGTGCCAGATTTTTCACTATTTAGTTTGTGTACATGAATGACTGTGAAAGCATTATGAATATTGATTTGGGTTATCAATAAATTTTAGTGTGTGAGCAAATTCATGAATATGGAATCCAAGAATAATGAGGATATATACCAGTATGTATGTATGTATGACAAAAGACTGTTTTGTCCACCTATTGGACCATCCTGTGGCTGAGTTCAGTACAAGGATTATGTTGGGATCCTGCCTAGAAGCTAGGCTGTGTTAGTCAGTTTCCCATAGCTATGATCAAAATAGGTGACAAGAACAACTTAGAAGAGGAAAAGTTTATTTTGGCATGGTTTCAGAGGTCTCAGTCTGTGATTGGCCAGCTCCATTCATTTGGAATGGAGAATATCATGGAAGGCCATGATATTTCATGGCAGACAGGAAGCAGGGGTCAGGGAAGAAACAGGTGATAGGGACAAGATATAGTACTTAAGGGCATGCCCCCAGTGATCTGCTTCTTCCAGCTAAGCTCTATTTGCTTGCTTTACCACCCAGCAGTCCATTCAAATTATTAATACATCAAATTGATTAATTAATTTATGAGGTTATAGCCCTAATCATTACCTAAACACCCTACTACCTCTGAATCTTGCTGTACTGGGGACTGTGCTTTCAAAACATGAACTCTTTAGGAGACATTCAAGATCTAAACTATAACATAGATAGATCCAGAGCTGGGAACCCAAGGTCAGCGTTAAGTGAGATTTCAGACTGAATTCTTTCCTCTTAGCCTGAGAATCACATGTGGAATTTCAGTACAAGCACTCAACAAAGGGATGCAAGGATATTGCATCTGTATGGCTTTCTGTCCAAGGGTTGACTTCCCCACTTCTTGGAGGCAAAGTTCACTGCCTAATTCCCTGTTCCGTGTTAACTTTTTCTAAGTTTCAGTGAAACAGTTTCACCCCCTTTAGTTTGTTGTATCTGAAGAAGGTGCCAGACACATTTTTCTTTTTCTCTCCCTTCCTTTTTTTCTTTCATTGGGAACTTAACCCAGGGGAACTTTACCACTGAGCTACATCCCCAGCCCTTTTCATTTTTTTTTTTTAAATTTTGAGATAGGTTCTCACCAAATTACCAAGAGCATCTAACTATATTGACCAAAGTTGCATTTCAAACTATTGGCATGCCTGATGGCCTCAGGAAAAAGGGACTCAATAGCCAAAGACACTGATGACTGACCTACCGAGCCTCTCAGGAGTTATTTGCAGTCCTTACAGTCTTTGGTGATTAATGTGTTCACATCCCTGCTATTTGGAGAAGCGAAGTTAAGCTGTGCTTGAAAGCAATAAAGACATTTTCTATGAGAATCCAGGCTGTCCTGCTGACACACTGCCTGGGTTACTGATGTTTCTCCTAGCAAAGGGTTGAGAAGAAAGATGAAGATTAGCAAAGGGCATGTATCCCATTTAGTGGCACTACCACTGGACATACCAGGATTTCTATGTCCCGGTCCCTCTTGTGTCCATATGCCAAAACTTCTATCAGGGAAGGAACAAAGACAGAAGATGTATTTGTGCTACTCTTCAAAAGGGCACCATCAATCCCAAAAGGTAGGTATACCTTAGGAGGAAGACTGACCTCGTGACTGGGAGCATTTGGTTCCTGAGAAGCATGGGGAATGACCACTGCTCAGGCTAGCTGGTAGTAGCTTGTGTGAAGACTGAATATTCTGTCTTGGGTGACCCAGACCTCTTCTTGTCTTTGAATGCAAACATATCCCATCTCAACTGACTGCTTTCCCTGGGGCCAGGTTGCCTTTCATCTCAATCTACTTCCCAACGGGGCTCTAGCATTAGAGCAAATAGCCCCAAGGACATTTAAGGAGAAAAGAAAGGAAGGAGCAGTGGAGTGGTCCTGGTGGAATTCTCTCTGGTTTACCTGGAATCCTGGGTTCTAGATTATAAAGTTCCTTGGATGGGATGTACTCTTGGCCTATCAGAGAGAGGAAAGGTATCTTCCATGCAGCTTAAGATTCTCCTGGGAGGCCAGATACCATTTAAATGTCTTTTCAAGCATTCTAAGTGAGAGTCCACTCCTTTGGGCTCAGGTATACATAGTCACTGAGTACTGTTCACTGGCCCAGAGTTCAAATCTTGGGGCAATGTTTTGGCTCCAACATGTGTTGCCATGTGCACTAAAAGGCCTTTCCTAGCCGAGTGCCAGTGCACTGTAATCTCAGTGACTCAAGAGGCTGAGGCAGGAGGATCACAAGTTCAGAGCCAGCTTCAGCAAAAGCAAGGCTTTAAGCAACTCCGTGAGGCCCTGTCTCTAAATAAAATACAAAAATAGGGCTGGGGATGTCGTTCAGTGGTCAAGTGCCCCTGAGTTTAGTCTCCGGTACCTCACTACCCCAAGAAAAAGGCCTTTCCTGGTCTGGTATCCTGAGTGTGTGTGTGTGTGTGTGTGTGTGTGTGTACACGCACATGCGCGTGTGTCTCCTCTTCAGTCCAAGGGGTAGAGAATGGTTAAATTGGGAGGATGTTTCTGGTAAAAACAGAACTCATTTTAAGTTTTCTAATCACTTTCCACATGTCACATTCTCCCTTTTTTTTTTACATTCTTCCTTTTAACTCTGGAATTGTTTTTCATGCCTGAGGGCCTAAAGTCATCTTTTAATTTCTCCAATTTGAGAGGCAACTTACTTCATTTTTCTTGTTCTGAATGAGAAAAATGAATCTGTTCTGCTAAAGGAGACAAAATTTTCAATATATAATAAAAGGGATAAATGAGTGTATACACATATGTGTATATACATTTTTAATGTATATATATGTATATAATGTATATATGTGTGTGTGTATGTGTATATATATATATATATATATATATATATATATATATATCTTACACTTGCCATTAATTAGTCTTGAGAAGAAAAGACACAAATACAATTGATTTATTACCTTAATTTTGGATTGAGAGAGAAACAGTCTCCATGCAAATAGCAATAAACTTTCAAACAAACAAGGTCATTTTAAAACGAATGGGTAACATGGACACAGTATAGTGGTTCCCTGCTTATTTGCACACAAGAACACAGTCCTGGGCAATGAGCTTGAGAGATGTAACGGAGATGAGTCTGGTTGCTGGTATGAGCTTCCACTGCTCTAAAAACGTCTTTGCCAAGTTCTGTCTCTGTTTCAGGGTTGAGCTGTTTAAATGGCTGTTGCTTCATTAATATCTAAATATACTAACATGATATGAAACATTAGCAGGGAAACAAACACTGTGATTAGGATTTCATATGTTAATTATTCCATTGAATAACAACACAACACTTTTATTCACTGGCAAATCACAAATACACACTGATGTTTACAAGATTTTTTTTCAGTTAAAGTGAAAGGAGGATGGTACATTTTAGAATACAAAGGGAAAAAAGAGATGAATCTTGTTGACTGATATATGGCAAATATATTGAACTCGGGGTCTCATGCATGCTAGGTAAGCACTCTACCACTGAACTACATCCTCAGAACTTTTTATTTTCATTTTTTTAAATTTTGGGACAGGATCTCACTAAGTTGTCCAAGCTGGTCTCAAACTTGGGACCTTCTTGCTTCAGCCTTCTGATTTAGCTGAGATTATAGATGTGTGCCACCTCATCCAGGAAAGCTAAAGCATTACAATAGTAAAAATGTAGATAATCCACCATGCTTCCTTGCTTGGCTTTGGAATGCACTGTGAAACTCGGTGAAATCAGAATTTATAAACCATTTTGATATGGTGAGACTGCATTTTCTTAAATGTACAATGATTGGGTTGAAGATAAGTCTGCGGGGTGGTGATAGAAAACAATTGATTGGCACTTTGTCGTTAGGAAAACAAACCAAACAAATAATTTTAAGAAACAAGCAAGTAGGAGGTCTCATGAAAATCAAATGGAGATTAATAGAATAGAGGGAAAGGACTAGGGGAGGGAGGAGGGGCGGAAAGGGGGAAATACTGGGGAATGAAATTGGCCAAAATATATCGTTAGATTCTGTGCATGTATGACTATGTAGCAACAAATCCCACTGTTATATACAACTATAATGCACCAATTCAAAAATATGGGAAAAAAGAAATAAGCAACTAAACAATTCCTTCTCCTCAGAAAACTTGGAATCAACCAAGTATGGATGGTTCAATCTCAAACCAGGTACCATTTGTACAGTCTCTGCTTCAGTATGAGTCAGGAAGAAATGAGGATACATATATATGATCACCACAATTGTATAGTAATAATAATGGATTCAGAAATTCTATTTATGCAGCACTGTGGTGTGCTGAGGACAACATGCTGAAAAGACTGTCAACACTTCTAAGACCATAGCGATGCTGAGAGGCTACATTTTCTTGATTATATCCTGGGACAGGGGTGCCTTTTTTTGTGGGGGGTACCAGGGATTGAACTCAGGGGCACTTGACCACTGAGCCACATCCCCAGCCCTATTTTTGTATTTTATTTAGAGACAGGGTCTCACTAAGTTGCTTAGCTCCTTGCCACTAGCTTTGAGCCCTTGATCCTCCTGCCTTAGCCTCCCTACCTGCTGGGATTACAGGCAGGGATGCCTTTTTGCCCCACTTGAGATGAGTTTCTGTGAAAAGAGTTCAAGGGTCACTGGTCCAAAGAACAGAGATAAAAAAGGTGCAGGTGTTTCTCCATAATAAACCACAGTGCATGGAGTTTCTAAACAACTCCCTCCAAACAACCAGTACAATATTACTTATTCATTCCTTTCATGTGTATAGTTCAAATCATGTTCACATGCTGAACATGGGCTCTCCCAGTGGCAGGGAAGGCAGAAGTTTTGATTATTTCCATATCATTAAAACAAAATGAGACATCCACACAGGAAACCGGTAGGTCACATGAGACCTAGAACTCTGGTCTGGTCTTTGGGTTCTGAGCAGAGCTTCTTTTGTAAAAGAGAGTATGTTCCAAAAATATTCGGGTTTTAGCCAAATGGCCACACAGATTATGTTTATTACCAGTGGCAACCTTCACTCTTTTTTTTTTTTTCGTGCTCTTTCTTTCGGGCCCCAGAGCCCCTGAAATCCTTTACACTGAAGTGTATAAGGAACTGAATGTATTCCTCATCTCAGGATTGACCATCTTCACCCAATAGAGTGATGAGATTCCAACCCCGTCAGTAAGACTTTTTTTAGTTCTCTCCTTCGACATTACACCATTGTAGAAGGGCCATAAGGCTGGATGGACTGCAAGAAAAATTCTTCTTTGGCAGCCACAATCCTGGAGAACATATCAGGAGATAGTAGGAGCTAGGTTGAGGCTATAGACTCCATACTGATGGGCTTATCCTTACATTTTAATTATGTCTAAATGCCTTATTATTCTATAGCTTTGAGCATTCCTGTTCAGATAAAATACAGAATGAGGGATCATGGAGGGAGAGTCCAGATGCCATTGGTGGTCTCTTCCTAGCCATCTATATGTCTAGATGTAGTTTTGTCGACTCTGATAACTTCTGCCATTTTGATTTTTTAAATGTCATTGTACACAGTAGGTAGGACAATCCTGTTGTCTCTGTCTAATCTCATTGGTGTGGCTTGCTCGCAGTAGATATTCAGTCCATGTCAGTTGCTGCTACTTGTGTCTGCTCTTATGGTTGTGATGGTGTACTCAGCAGGCTAATGATATCAGCAGATATCAGTAAATGTCTGGGTTGTGGTTTGTGTCCAGCCTCATTATTTGTTATGACTTTGAAGCATCTAGCTCTGTAAAGACAGGAGGCATGAATATGATTGTTCTTTTCCATTCAGGCTGTGAATTTGATTGATGATGCTCTGAGTACTGGATTTGGGTTTTCAGTTGTGTAACGCTACCATGTCACTTCAGCCTGATACAATCCACCTCTTCAGTGGCAGGCACCCCACTGGTTTTGAAGTCAAGTTCAGCACTGGACTTGCTCCCATGGTGAGAGGGTTGCCAGTGAAGTAGCATCATCTTCTTGAAGTACTTCATGGTGTTGTTCTTGACTGTCACGAAGCACACAGTGTTAATCATGCTGTTGCTCATGGCGATGCACTCAACGACGTAGAAGGCGGTGAGGTAGTGCTTCTCTTTCACAAACACAGTGGGGAAGAAGTCGCGCACAATGGTGAAGCCATAGAAGGGTGCCCAGCACAGCACGTAGGCTGTAAGGATGCACATGAGCACCAGGACTGTCTTCCGGCGGCAGCGCAGTCGCTTACGGATCTGCTCTGTCTGGAACCCAGGGACTGCCTTGAACCAGAGCTCCTGGGAGATCCTGGCATAGCACAGGGTCATGGTGACCACAGGCCCTACGAACTCGAGGCCAAAGATAAACAGAAAGTAGGACCTATAATAGAGCTGCTGATCCACTGGCCAGATCTGGCCACAGAAGATCTTTTCCTGGTTTTTGACAATAAAGAGGACGGTTTCGGTTGCAAAGTAGGCTGATGGGATGGCAATGAGGATGGAAACCAACCAGACCAAAGCAATCAGGAAGGAGGCGGTTTGATAATTCATTCGTGGTTTCAAGGGGTGAACGATGGCAAGATATCTGGTGAGGAAAGACAGCAAACAATCATAATATGTTACAGCTTGGAAAATGATCGTTTTTTCACTAATTCCGAACACAGTGAATTCCCATGTACTCATTACCCAAATTTAACCAGCTTCATCTCATGTCAGCAACATCATTTTGCACTTGGAATAGTGGCATGGTTTAGTGGAAACAGCACAGGTTTTAGGTCAAATATGTTGAATAAATTCTGGCTTTCCAGACCCAAATTACCCAATCTCTCTGAGGTTCATTTCCTCAAATGCAACCTGGAATCAAATGATACCTGCTTTGCTGGTAGCTGTGAAGGTTCAATATGATAATATTTGTAGCCTGTGTTGTAGGTGTTCAATAAATACATGTGGTCTATTATTATTAATGCTCCTATTATTCTACCTTGGGTTTCAAGCCATTCTGCCCAAGAATACAATGCTCTCAAAGCTCTTCATTCTAAATAACTCATGGTTTAGAGATGAAGAAGGGCTGGGCACCTCCGAGAGAGGTCAGGCCTTTCTCAGGTAGTAGACAAGAACTTTTTCCTTCTCCTCCAGCCCCCACCACCAGGTATTACTCTGCATTACAGAAGCAGGAGAGTAGGGATGGGTTTGTGATGAAACTAAGAACCCTGATGAGAAGTAAATGTCTTGCTCAAGCTAGAATCATGCAAGCACTGGAATTCAGGCCCCTGGTACAAAAGCTTTTACACTCACCTCCCTGGGTCACCTCATGTTCAAATGGGAAGGTATATGAAGCTACCATAATATCTTGATCCCTGCTCTTTCTAATGAACCATATTGCCCAGGAAAGAAGTCGGAACCTTTTGTAGAAAGTGAGCTCAGCTGTGCAGATTGAATATCTTCTCTCCAGAGAGAGAGAACGAATAACAATCTATTTAGATATTTGGGTGCCCTGGAATCACTTCTGTGCAGGATTGAGTGGTAGAAGACAATGGAGAAAGATAAACATCAGAAGGGTCAGAAAAGAAAGAAATCAGCCATGGAAATAAACACGTAGAAAACTGGATCCAAACCTTTGTAAACCAGACCCTTTGATCACCTTTCCAAGTGTCTGATTTGACTATGGAGGTTTCCTTCCATGTTACTACTTTCCGTCCCTGACAGTATTTCTGCTACAAGTTTGCTTCACCTTCTCTTGCCTGCTCCTTGTTCATTGTTGGCTCTAACCCATTGAGTTTCACTAGCGGAACCCATGAGAGCATGGCTACCCCCAAGTTTGTGGCTTTCTGAATATCCAGGATGAAGCTGGATCCATCACAACCTGGATGTACTAATAGGCATGGCTGTTGCTGGAGTTCTCCGCACGTCATTTGATCTGGCCTTGCCATGTGAACCTGTATGACTGTCCCGAGTGGACAAGCCTCACGGGACTGAAGAGAGGGGCAAATGGGCTGGCTCACCCTCACCTGGAGCAGGGACATCTCACAATCACTGTCTCTTTGTAATGACTGGGAAAGAATTAGTTTTTTGTTGCTGCTATAACAAATGCCCACAGATATAGTGGCTTGAAGTGACACAATTGATTATCTTACAGTTTTTAGAGGTCAGAAGACTGGTGTGTGTGTGTGTGTGTGTGTGTGTGTGTGTAGTTCCTTTTCCAGGGCTGCCTATAGTTTTTGACCCATGACCCTTCCCTGTTCAAAGCCAGCAATGGCAAGCTGAGTTTGTCTCATTTTGTATTACTCTGACATTAACTCTCTGCCTCCTTCCACAATTAAGAACCTTTGTGATTCCATTGGCCCCACCTAGATTATCTAGTAAAATTCCCCTATTTTAAGATCAGCTGATTAGCAACCTTAATCCCATCTGCCACTTTAATTCCCTTTTGGCATGTAATATAATATGCTCATGGTTCTGGGAAACAGGATGTAGTTATCTTTTGGCGGGGGGTGGGGAAGGAATTATTCTGCCTACCGCAACTTAATCCAAAGTCCTTAGGAAAAGCAAGACAAATTCAGAACTTAATAGCTTTCTGGTTCTATCACGGACAGTATCTCAATAACCAATGCCAAATGAAATTTCCCCACATTCCTGCTTATTCTGTTGTTGTCTTTTAAATTCGAGTTTTTTATCATTTGTAACACTTTCCTCATTCTATGGGATGTTTCAAAATTCGAATAGAAAAGAAAGGAACACTACTAGCCTGCAGGTTATTCAGAAGGTCTGGCTCCAAGCTGTGAACTTGGATAAATCATTTATACTCCTGAGAATTAGTTTCATCATCTATAAAATGGGGATCATAATAACTTTATTGACAATCTCTCAGGATTTTTTTTTTAGGTTTCAAGAAAGTGAACATACATAATGCATGTTGGAAGCTATAGTACTTTACTTACATTGATCATTTCCCACAGTTCACTCATTGGCAAGAGACATCTGCAAGGTGTTTGTTGCCATTTATCTGCTTGGAAGTGTTTCTTAAGATCAGTGGTTTTCTTCAAGTCTCTGTGACTTGAAATAGCACCTCTTCTGCATAGACCTGGCTATTCTCTAGCTGCAGCATACACAAATGGCACCAGGTGGCCCTTATGATATTTCTACATAGTAGATATTTCTACATATTTGTCCTAGAGGCAAATGAAAGTACCAACAGAGAGATGTGTACTTCTCCCAGGGTATGTAGGTCTAATTCTGGGGTTGCGGTTGAAGTATCCCCCAAGCTCCCAGATACAACCCTGTTTTCCAAAATCAGTATCATCAGGGCAAAGATGAGAGCTTTCTATTCATCTTTCTTATCATTTACCTTATTTTTCAATTGGTCTAGACCCTGATGGCTCAGAGGGGTGCTATTTATTAAGCTTTTGTATTTTGAGGCTTGAATTTCCACATACTGCCTTTATATCTTTGAGCCTTATGGGACCCCAAAAGCCTAGCTATGAGTTCCCCTGTTCTTGCCGGATGTATCTCAACTGCTCCTCTTGTACACACCCAATGGAAAAGCCTCCCTGTCCGGCTGGTTCCTCTATCAGGAAGTGTAAGTATAAACTCACTGGGGAATGAGATTCACCAAATTATGTTATGTGCATGTACAAATAGGCACAGTGAATCTCACTATTATGTATAATTATAATTCATATAAAAAAGAGTAAGCCTTTCAGAGAACTTTTCCTTAAAAAAAAAAACCCTAGCATTTATGTATCAGAATCTCTCGATTATTCTTTTATGTCTCATAAATGCTAGTTCTTGTGTGGAAGAAAAGCTCCCTGAGGTCAAGGACTGTGTCTTTTCTACATTGTGTTTCCATATCCATAGTCTGGACATACAGCAGGGCCCAGCAACCCACTGTGCACCTACCAGGTTGGAGCAGATACAGTCAGTGCCCCATTCATATCCCTTTGCTGTTATCATGTCAGTGCATACCTGTTCACTTGTACCTGCCAATACACCTGCATTTCTTTGTCTAAAGGCTTTCTCAGGCTTCCAGATTCCTCTTGGCTCCCTGAACAGCATCCCTAGAGCAGTCCTCAGCAAGGCCTTATGCATAGTGGTGTAAAAATATCCCAGCTCCCTCTCACTGCCCACTCCTGGGAGATGTCTGAGTTGTGATCTACTGGCTCTAAGGGTTTCTCAGCAGGGATAAGCTCTAGTTACCCATAGTAGAATCTTGTTCAACAATGTATCCTGTATTGACTGTTTTCCTTCCCTATTTCACTTTCCACCTTCCTATAGGTTCTTCCTGGTGCTACATGCACAAGTATCCTTATCTCAGAGTGAAAACAACCCAAATTAAGACACAGGTATAAGGCTCTGTGGAGACAGAAACATTGCAGACCTAATTATTGTGCTTAAAATACATTATCTTTTGGATAAGACCATCTATATCTTCATACACAGCCTGAGTTTGGAAAGACAGATTGGCATCAGATCATAAATGCCCTGTTATGCTAGACTCAGGATTTGGCGTGTATCCTAAAGACACTGGAATTTCTAGAGGTCTTATTAGCAATGAAATGTCTTAGGAAGATCCCTCAATAGTGATATTCTGGTGCTTCATATGGATGAGTATGGATTTCAGGGCAGAGCCAAGAGCCTCTGGGGGCAAAAGACAAGTCAGAAGAGCATCATCATGGACCAGTCATAACTTGATAAGGAATGAGGGTAGAGGGAAAATTGCCAGGAGTTGGTGTAGGCCTGAACACAAAGGGTGGAGTGGGTAGGAATTGAGGGGGGAGAAAAGCAAAGGGTGCTGGTAACTTTCCTGATTGGGGACCAGGAAAGTGATGACACTGCTGATGGAGCTGGCAGCTGCCTGGGGAAGAGTTGGTTTGGGATGGGAAAGAACTTTTCCCTTGTCTGTTGTAACAGGGTGATCATGTCCCAAGAAACTCCAGTGTTACAAATAGCATATTACAGTGACACAGTCACATCAATGTTTATAGCAGCTCAACTCACAATAGCTAAACTATGGAACCAATCTAGGTGCCCTTCAATAGATGAATGGATAAAGAAAATGTGATATATATGATGGAATATCACTCAGCCTTAAAAAAGAATAAAATTATGGCATTTGTTGGTAAATGGATGGAGCTGGAGAATATAATGCTAAGCAAAATAAGTCAATCCCAAAAAACCAAAGGCTGAATGTTTTCTCTGATATGCAGATGCTGATTCACAATAAGGTGGGGGTGGCTAGGGAAGAATAGAGTTACTTTAGATAGAGGGCAGTGAAAGGAGAGGAGGGGGTATGAGGGTAGGAAGGATAGTAGAATGAAACAGACCTCATTACCTTAAGTACATATATGACTGCATGACCAATGTGATTCTACAACATGTACAATCAGAAAAACGAGAAATTATATCCCACTTATGAATGATATATCAAAGTGCAAAATATTCTGCTGTCATGTGTAACTAATCAGAACAAATAAAAAATTTAAAAAACAGACAAACAAAATCAACATCATGAAGACAAGGTTACAATGGGACAAGAGATGAGAATAGTGATCACTATCATTTAGTAAGCATAAAAATCACTTAAGATAGTGAATAAAAATTCAGATTCCTGGAACCCAGTGTGAGGGATTCCCATCCAGGAGACTGGAGTGGGACCCAGGAATCTGACTCTGAATCATTGCATCAGATGTTACCTTCTGCCATTTTCCCTGGGGAGTTTTGCGCAGTTGGTTGGTAAGTGCCCACTCCACAAAGGCTGGTTTCAGGCCTGGAGAACCTCAGAGTTGTAATAAAATTGTTTTTCCTTCAGATATTCTATAAAAGGAAGATGCATCTTGTACCTGTATGTGTATTTTATTACACCATAAATGAAGAATAATAAACTGGTTGATTACAAAGGACAGCAAACCTATAAACAGCACTGAGAACATGGGAAAAATTGAAGAGTTGAAAGGAGACAAAAGGGAAAAAAGATGATCCAGCACCTTAATCAAAATGAGTTTCAGCATAGCTCAGAAGGTGAATAGTAAGCAAGAAGACATCAACTGTCTCTCTCAAACAGAGCCACTGGTGATCTGATACTGGGCTGCAACTGTTCACATAAATTGTACATGTATAAGATTTGTCACTAGATGTGATAAATTTTACCTTATACATTTACAATAGAGCAAGGACTTCTGGAACATCTCATGCAAATGCATGCAAATGAGCACACATGGATATATGCAAAAGAACAAAAGCAAGCATGTCTTTCTTTTCTGCAAACAAATCCTGCTATCTCATTTTAAAATCAGCTCTGCAACAAAATCACTAAAACAAGTGATGATTCTTTTCTTAGGAAGTTAAAGCCTAGGCAGAATTAAATTATGATGATAACAATCAGATCACTGGTTGCTTAAGGGTTGGGGGAGTTGACTGGTTAGGGCACAGGCATTTTCTAAGTGATGGAAATGTTCAATCTGGCTACAGGAAAAACTTGGTGCTTATTGTCTTGACTGCAAACTTCCTTAGTTAACCCTCCCTTGGCTTTTAAGTAACAGCTGTCTGAATTTTCTGCTTTTGACTTTGTGTTTGATGCCATAGGCTGTCATTAATGTGATATGCTTGCATCTAAAGCAGATTCAGAGAGAGCATGGTCAGAACTGGGGGACTTAGGAGCCTCATATTTGCTCACATTTGGGGGAACAGAACACTGCTAAAGAAACAAAAGCTCCTCTTGCCCCTTAAAAGATCAATGAACATTCAAATATGGAGTAGTGCCAAGCCTGTCTAATTTGAAGTGAGAAAAATGGCAGCCTAGCTGGCTTCTGTCTTATACCCCTGCCAAGGGCCTCACCTGTCAACAGCGATGGCCAGCAGGGCATTGGTGGAGACGTAGAGGGAGACAGTACGCAGGTAGTTGACAGAAGCACACAGCACATGGCCATGTTCCCAGGAGAGCTGACGTACCACATAATAGTCCATCTCAAAGGGGCAACAGACAATGGCCACCAGGAAGTCGGAGATGGCCAGGTTAGCAATGAGCAGGTTGGTGAGGTTGCGCAGCTTCTTGTAGCGGGCAAGGGCAGCAATGAAGACAAAGTTGCCAATGCCACAGACTAGCATGATGCCTGCCAGTGCCACTCCAATGACGATCTTGGCTGCAAAGAAGGTCCGGGTCTTGGTCATGTCCTCATCTTCATCCAGAGGGAGGTCATAATCACCATAACTGAAGTTGAAGTGGAGGGAGGAGGCATGGTCTTGGGGTAGACTAAAGTTGGAAGCAAAACTAGTGTTTCTGTTCTGCACTGCCATGGTGATGCCTGCAGATGGAGCGGTATGAGGGAAGTGTAGGGAATACAGCACTCTGAGCTGGGGGGTCCAGATCTTCTGCTGTCACAGAAGATGTGATTGAGCCTAGTACCCTGCTCACATCCTTGGGCAGAGGTGATACACCATCTTGTTTCTGGAAGGAGACACAACCAGTGGATCACAGGAGAATGAAGAATATCTGGTAGCATTCCTCCAGAGTTCCCCAGGTACACACCCGCCAAACCCACTGCCTACCTGTAGACAGAACTACTCATGGTGCAGGGGAGAGAAGGCATGAGATCTGGAAGCTGGGATGCCCTCTACCACCTCTGCAGCTATCAGAAAGGACTGAATGCAAGGTGGATTGGACTTGCAAGAGACACCCAAGAAAAATGTGCACTTTTGTCCTTTTCCCAGGGGTCAGTGCTGGTTTGATGTCTAATTTATCCACCCACCCCTTCATCAGCTCCCACAGGTCTTCTGGAAGTTTCTCAAGGCAATTGCCCAGGCTTCTATGTTATCCACAATGTTGCACCATCTATTGGCCGGGAATAGGGTCTTTCTTCCAAAGTAGGGCACAGAGCCCTCTGGTCTAGCCAAACCAGGGACTCGGAAATCACCAAAACCATTTTCATATGGATAGGCTGAGTCATCCTGGACCAGTGAGTGATTCATGCTCTCAGAGCCCTAACTTTCCCTAAACAAACTCCTGCTATCCAGTCCAGATCCTGCATAGGCAGGGGGTACGGTTGGGGAGCTGGATAGGAATTTGTTGAATGAATGAATAAATGAGGATCCCCACCTAGATGCTGTAGGTGGGGAAGAGGAAATTCCCCTGATCCTTGGGAACCAGCTCTAGAAGGAATTCTCTGTCTCCCCACCTTAGTCCCACTACTTTGGGTCTGCTCCCTCCTGCCTTCACCAGGTTTCCAGTTCCCCACCCCAGAGTCACCCTGAGTAGAAGGCACCACACCCTGTCCTGAAGGTCTTTGTCCTCGGAAAAGGATGGCTGCCCCAAGACTTAACTGAAAATAGCCCCTAAGGGTGAAGGTCGGGGGAGGAGGGGGTAGAAGGTCACCTAAGACCCCAGAGGGCTCAAGGTGAACTGTCTGCCCTTCACTGGAAAAAGTCCAATGAAGGAGCCTCTGAGAGAAAATAAAATCTCTGAAGCATCAGCTCTCAGGAGATAGAGGAGCACAGGGCACAAGTTGTTGCTGAGTGTCTGGGAAAAGAACCAGGACCCTAGTGTCCGCAGAAAGGGAGCTGTCTTACTAGAGGTGAACCGCTTTCCTCCCAGACCTCTCAGCACACCTGGACACCTCTCCAAGTGTGGGGGCCAATGGATGCTGGTAGCAAGAAGCAATAAAATGGGTCAGGGAAATTTGTCTGCCCCTGGGAAGGCGGGACGGGAGCAAGGGTCAGGAACTGCCACTCTGGCAAGGACAAGAGTCGTAGTTGTGGCAGGAATACTATAACCTATAGAGCTCCCGCCTGCTGCGAGACTGAGGTGTAGAAACCCCCGACAGGTGAGGTTCAACTCACAGAGGCGTCTGCAGCCGGGGTGACCTTCCTGGGTTTGCCTTTCACACGGAATTCCAATCCCTGAAGACTCGGTTCAGCTGCGGACAGAGAAGCAGGACCCCCAGCTCTTCTCCTGCCGGGTTTCTAAGCTCCAGCCTCCAGACCCAAGGAAGAGGCGCATGCCCCGAGCGGGGGCAAGTCCCTGTCCCCGTCGCATTTTCGAGGGACGTACCCCTCGCGGGTGATCATCCCGTTCCATTACCTCCTCCCTTCCCCAACGCTGCCACGCGGTGTCCGAAGACTCCGCCCCGCCCCGGGCAGGAATCAACTAAAAAAATTCTTGTTTGAGAAACAAAGCCCGGGGGGCTTCGGGACAGCGGAAAACTAGGGCTGGGGGTTGGGGTTGGCGAGGGGACGATGAGGGGGCGAGAGAATTTTATCAGAGAGGTTGGCTCTTTTCTGCTCACCTTTCTGCAGGAGACCTCCCCCTGCAATTTGGCGCTGGCCCGCGCCCTCAGCCCCCAATCCCCGCCTACGGTCTCCTGCCAACCTGGAGGACCCAGAGGGCATTTCCCCGAATCAAATCGCTGCTAGCTTGGGGACAGATCGCCACATCCCGGGAGTGGCAAGAGGCTAAGGAGCCCGCGTAGCCCTGAGAAAGAAAGCGGGCGTCGGAGCCCCTTGTCCGGGCGGCATGAACACACAACCCGTCTTCCAACTGCGCGGATCTGATCGTTTACCTACCTCTGCACCTCTTCTCTTGGGGCACTCTGAGGTCCTGGAGGCCGAACGCGGGTCTTAGGGTGAGTGGACGCGGGTCGGGTCTCTGGTTCCCGCCTTGGGGACCCGGACTAGCACTTGCCGAGGTGAGTGTGTGTTGTCCCTATTTAGACCCCTCGCCTCAGTGCTCTTCTGCGCGTGGCGGTGTCTCCCCGACAGAGTCGGAGCTCCGCCTCCTCCACTCATCCTAACACCTCGGACCCGGCCCTGCGCGTCCCGCCCTCGACTCCGCCCTAGGGTGCCCCCGCCTGCCTTCAACCCTAGGCAGACAGTGGGCGATCTGCTCCCGCGCCCCGCCGCGCGCTGGGACTAGTGTGCTCTGGGTGCAGGACCTCTTTGGCTGGGGTCACAGGTTGTGGGGGCCTCCCTTCACTGGGGGTTTTCTACTCCTTGGCACCCGGGTGTGAATAGGACCTCAGTAGCCAGGTGTCAGTGGTGCGATTCCGCAGATGAGCACTATTGTCAGTTGCGCGGCTCCTGTCCTCTGCACCCTGCTAGAGCCTCCCCCCCCCCCCGCACCCGAATCGCCTGTACACAGGTAGAGCGCCCTGTTTTCTGCAGGTGCCCAGTGCTAGCATCTGCACCTGCTGCAAACCCAGTTGCAACCTCATCTTCGCAGAGGCAACACGGACCTTATGCAGTGGTGATGGAGGAGGAAGGCCTCCCATCCCCACCCCGGGGAGGAAGCTGGGAATGAGGGCAACTGGCCCTGCAAAAAGATCCAAACTTCAGGTCCTTATCCTAAATCTACCATCACCATCACTGTCAGATTCTTCGGCTATTCGGTCAATTCCAATCAGGCCTCTCAGACTCTGGTCGGTAGGCTCTGGCCGCTTTGCCTTCAGCAGACTTGGGCTTTAGATAACTTTTGCTCATCCTTAGAATTTTTAGGGTTAAACTTTAGAGCTGCGAATTCAAGGCCCAGTCATTGGGAAGATCTGAGTATACAGATTTAGAGCTGCAAGCTGTGGTAGGAGACTGAAGGTCTAAGGGGTTCCCCATTGTGATTGACAGGTCAAAATCTGGACTCCACTTCACCAGATCTTTCTGTTTTTCAAGAGAATCTGGAATTTGCAAACTTTGTTAATTACTCCGTTGGGCTAGTTAAAACAAAACAAAAACCGTCTGTTGGCCAAGGAGAACATATCACAGACTGAATATAGTCCACTGGGCTGCCAATTTAAAATTCCTGGATAGATGATCTGGAAACTGGAGTTCTATCCTTCCTATTTTATATGGAATTAACCCCATTCTTCTGCCCTTCTGACAACATCTATCTACCCATGTAAGATCAAAAACAGGAGACCCAGCTTTCTGCTGTCCTCAAAGGGAGGGGCTGCCAGCTGGTGGGTGTTGTGGATGGTGAGGACAACCTCCAGATGTGGAGGCAGGAGAGGTTCTGTTATTAGGAGTAAGAATGACAGGTTACATGCCCTGACAGAGTCTTTTGAAGACTTGTAGCAGATATATCACCTTCAGCTAAAGGCTTTACCCTTCCTGGACTAAGCCCATCCTCCTTTTTTATGGGGCAAATGACCCTGGGGACCTTCTGCTCAAAAGTGCTTTCCTGGAACCCTCTAAGATACAGTTATGACTGAGTTGATTGCACACAATCTGGAAACCCATAAGTGTCATTTTAATAAATTGAATTCCTGATTATCTCTTATGGTTTGCATCTTTAATGTCACCTAAAAAGTTCATGTGTAAGGTAAAGCAGGAATTATTAGATTATGAAAGCTATAACCTCATCAGTGGATTAATCCATTTGATGGATTAATAATTTGGATGGACTACTGACTGATAATTGTAGGCGGGTGGGGCAGGGCTGAAGGAAGTAGCTTACTGGGGACATACTCTTGGACTATATCTTGTCTTCTGCTCCCCTACTTTTTTTTCTCTCTTTCTCCCCCTCTACTCTCTCTCTCTCTTCCTCTCCCTTTCCCTCTCTCCTTTCCACCCGCCATAAGCTGAGCAGCTTTCCTCTGTCATGCCCTCCTGCTCTAATGTGCTGCCCCATCTCAGACCCAGAACAATGGAGTTGACTGACCATGGACGAAATCTCTGAAATTGTGGGCCCAAATAAACTTTTCCTCTAAGTTATTCTTGTCAGGTATTTTGATCACAACATCACAAAGATGACTAACACACTACCCACAGCAGAGTAAGGGTTTTACCTGGGGATGGCCATGAAGTTCCCAGGGAGACAATGAGGACAATATAACAAAGTGCTACAGGGAATTGTCTTAGTTCATTCAGGTTACCCACTGAGACTCCAAGACAAAGATTTGAGTGCAGGTAATTTACTAGGAGTTGATCCTGGGAAGCAGAAGGAAGGTACAGGGAAAGTGAGGCAGAGAAGGGAGAAACACCAACGCATGATGTGCTAATGAGCAGGGAATGCTGTGGCTACCTGGGGCTCACTCTACCCGAGGCGCACTCTGCCTGAGAAACTATGTGGAACCTGCCTCCTGATTGTCCACTACAGCACAGGGAGCCTGGGACATTCAGCCACTGAATGATTCCTATACCTTCACTGATGGACAGTTTTCCTGAGGGTGAAAAGAAGAGAGCTTCAAGACTTGGGTAGGAAGTATCAGAGTTCCAAGAACTGCACCTGCCAGTTAATTCAGGTGGGCAGAAGGGACATGGGCAGGTCATTAACCCCTCACAGCTGTTACAAGAGGGGAGCAGAGGGACATTGCCTTGAATGAGTAGGATTAACACTGGAGTTCATAGGCTAAACCGGGGGGTGAGCTCAGAGAAATCTGAGGGTGGGTAGGATTTTTAGGGCTAAGGATTTTGCGTAATTGGAGGCAATGTTATGTCCCCATTTTGGCTGACAAAGCTGGCAAGAAGCAGGGAAGTGGAGATTCCTTAGTCAGACAGAATAAAAATTATTAATGAGCTTCCCACTCTGGTCAAAGAGAGTTCTCGAGTTGCCAGCTCCAATTCTCTTCTCTCTGAAATCTTTCTGGGTGGGAGAGGCTTAGCCAAACTAGGTAATAAAGTGCTGAGGGAAAGGGGAAAGAAATAGGGGAAGAAAGAAAAACTGTACAGGCTGGAGTTGCTGCATTTACTCAGAGGAGAGGTCATGGATGGAGCAACTGAGTGTGAGGAAAATGGATGGTTGAGAAAAGGAGGCTTTAATATGGGGCCTGGAAATTATATATTTGAATCTACTTTAGAGGTATTAACAGTAAAAATTTGAGTAGGTATAATATGTTGAAAATATTAAACCTGAGTGTTTTCATTGCCCTTCCCTCAATTGGTCAAGCTTTGTTATTATAACAAAATCCCTGAGATTGGGTACTTTATTAAAGAAAAGGGGTTTAGTTCACAGTTTTGGAGGTTCAGCTCTAAGGGCAAGGTGATGGCCTTGGGAGGTGGGGGAGAGTGCTGTTAGAGCAAGAACTGCACAAAGTGGGACAAGAATGAGCTCCCAGGACCCATACTTGCTTGGCTGCTAAGCACATGCCAGCTCAGATGGCATGGTATTGTGCTGACCGGAGTGGCAATTCTCAGATTGGAGCGTGCATCAAGAACTTTCTCAATACTCATGCCTAGGCCCTGTGCAGGTAGGTTCTCATCCTGCATGTTGGTAAGAGTTCCCTGGCTTCTTTGAGTGTTCATTCTTTACCAAAGTTCCCACATAAACCAATGTGAAAACTAAAAACACCCTGATGGAAATCACCGACTGTAAGTAGTGGAGCTTAATGAATTTTGCTTCAAAGCCAACAGAACGTCTTTTCAGCACAGTGGTGTTTTGTTTTCTTGCTTGTAATGCCCTGTATCAGCCAAGGTTGTGTGAATACTTTTCTTTTTTTTTGTGTGTGTGGTGGGGTGGACTAGGGGTTGAACCCAGGAATGCTCTATCACTGAGCTACATCCCGGAACTCTTTATTTTTTTCATTTTGAGACTGAGTTTCACTAAGTTGCCCAGGCTGGCCTTGAACTTGCAATGCTTCTGTCCTAACATCCAGAGTCGCCGGGATGACAGGCATGCTGCACTGTAGCTGGCTCTTTCTTAAAAAAAAGAAAGAAAGAAAGAAAGAAAGAAAACAAAAGAAAGAGAAAAATTCAGTTTGGGGCTTTTCCCCTTATATTTGATTCTGTTTTGATATATATTTTAAAAATACCTCTACAAGTTGGAAGTGTCTCTAACACACACACACACACACACACACACACACACACAAATACCTCTACTAGTTGGAAGTGTCTCTAACACACACACACACACACCAGGAAAAGAAAGTTACACTTAGTGACAAATTCAGTATGCTGTTTTTGAATCACAGCTTTCTGTAACACACTTTTCAGGGCTTTGAAAGGCTTTGCGAGGTGCAGCCTGGGATGCAGCTAATTTGGAGCCAGGGTGGGGAAGGTGAGAGGTACCAGGCTACCCAAAGTTACAGCTTGTTCA